GAGCCCCCCGACCTTCGCCGTCAGCACCGTCTTGCACCGCGTGTGATCCCCCCCTGGGGGGCACAGGGGGGGTCAGGGGGGGCCCCCGAACACCAGCGGGGCCCCCGGACCCAGAGGAACCCCCCAGAACCTGCCCAGACCCCCAAACCTGCCCAGACCCAGAGAGACCCCCCAGAACCTGCCCGGACCCCAAAACCTGCCCAGACCCCCCCCAAAACCTGCTCAAACCCACTGGGACCACCCAGAACCCTCCCAGACCCCCCCAGGAGCCCCCCCCCAGACCCATCAGACCCCCCCCAAACCCCTCCCAGACCCCCAGAGGAGGGTTTTGGGGGTCCCTTGGGGGGGGGTTTTGGGGCTCCATAAGCGGATTTTGGGTGTGTCTGGGAGGTTTTTGGGTGTGTTTGGGAGGGTTTTGGGTGTGTCTCGGTGGGTTTCGGGGTGCAGGGGGGTTTGGGGGTCCCTGTCCCGGGGGTCACTCACTCAGCAGGACCCCCTGGGCCCTCCCCTCGCCCAGGATGGGCTCGAAGATCCTGAGCAGGGGCTTGGCCAGCTGCTGCTCCAGGTAATAGCGCGTGTCGATGGGCAGGTTCTGCTCCAGGGCAAACACCGGGTCCTGGGGTGGGCAAGGCAAAAGGGGCGGGGGTGGGGCGGGTACTTGGGGGGCACAACGGGGGGGTTGGGGGGTCCGGGGGGCTGTTTGGGGGGGGTCCTGGTGGGGCCTGTGTTTGGGGCGGGGTCCTGGGGGGATATGCGCCGCCCGGGGGGGGGTTCCTGGAAGGCTTTTGGACGGAGGCACACCAAAAAGGGTGGTGGGGGTTTGGGGGTCAGGTGTCGATGGGCAGGTTCTGCTCCAGGGCAAACACCGGGGCCTGGGGGGCAAACGGGGGGGGTTGGGGGGGCAATGGGGGGGTTTGGGGGGTCCTGGGGGGCAAACAAGGGGGTTTGGGGGGGTCTGGGGGCAGTTTGGGGAGATCTCTGGGAGTTTGGGGGTGTTTGAGGAGGGTCCTGGGGGGTTTGGGGGGGGGCATCAAGGGGCCTGGGGGGGACACGAGGAGACCCCACACCCCAAAATCCCCCCCCGCCCCTTCCACTCCCTCGACCACCCCCAATCACCCCAAAATCCACCCCCCTCGCCCCCCAAATCCCCCCCACCCCGAGGTGCCGCCCCCCCGAGTGACCCCATTTTTGGGGTCCCCCTGAGTGACCCCCTCACTGACCCCTGAGTGACCCCTGAGTGACCCCCCCCAACCTCAGACCAGGCACAGCCCCCTCCCCACATCCCCACGTTTTTGGGACCCCCCAACATCCCCCCTGCCCCCCCCTTGACCTCCCTGACCCCTGAGTGACCCCTGAGTGACCCCTGAGTGACCCCAAATGACCCCCAGTGCCCCCCTGACCCCAGAGCAAGTGCAGCCCCTTCCCCAATTCCACCCCCTTTGTCTCCCCAATTTTTGGGACCCCCTGACTCCCCCCTGCTCCCCGTGACCCCCGAGTGACCTCGTGACCCCCGAGTGACCCCGTGACCCCCGAGTGACCCCGTGACCCCTGACCTCTGAGCGCGTGTAGGCCGCCTCCCCCCGGGCCCCGCTGACGATGACGTAGGGGACACGATCCCCCAGCACGGGGGCACTGCCGGGGTCCCGCACCTTCAGCCTGCCCCAAACACCCCAAAACGGCATTTAACACCCCAAAAACAGCATTAAACACCCCAAAAACGGCATTGAACACCCCCAAAACGGCATTGAACACCCCGAAAACGGCATTAAACACCCCAAAAATGGGGCACTGCCGGGGTCCCGCACCTTCAGCCTGCCCCAAACACCCCAAAATGGGAAAAAACACCCCCAAAACGGCATTAAACACCCCAAAAATGGCATTAAACACCCCAAAAATGGGACAGAACACCCCAAAAACAGCATTGAACACCCCAAAAACGGCATTAAACACCCCAAAAATGGGACAGAACACCCCAAAAACGGGACAGAACACCCCAAAAATGGGGCACTGCCGGGGTCCCGCACCTTCAGCCTGCCACAAACACCCAAAAATGGGAAAAAACACCCCAAAACGGCATTGAACACCCCAAAAACAGCATTAAACACCCCAAAAATGGGGCACTGCCGGGGTCCCGCACCTTCAGCCTGCCCCAAACACCCAAAAATGGGAAAAAACACCCCAAAAACGGCATTGAACACCCCAAAAACGGCATTAAACACCCCAAAAACGGCATTAAACACCCCAAAAATGGGGCACTGCCGGGGTCCCGCACCTTCAGCCTGCCACAAACACCCAAAATGGGGAAAAACACCCCAAAAACGGGGCTGGAGGCACTGGGGGGCACTGGGGAGGGTCCCAGTTTCACGGGGTGTTTTTTGGGGGTTCCTCTGGGGGTTTTTGGGGCCCAGGGGGTATTTTTGGGGTGTTTTTGGGGCCCCCACCTCTCGGCCAGCCTGACGTGGGCTTGGGGGGCACTGGAGGCACTGGGGGGGGTCCCAGTTTCACAGGGTGTGTTTTTTGGGGTTCAGGGCCATTCCCACTGGGGTTTTGGGGTCCAGGGATTGGTTTTGGGGGTGTTTTTGGGGCCCCCACCTCTCGGCCAGCCTGACGTGGGCCTGGGGGGCACTGTAGGCACTGGGGGGGTCCCAGTTTCACAGGGTGTTTTTTGGGGGTTCCCATGGGTGTTTTTGGGGCCCAGGGGGTATTTTTGGGGTGTTTTTGGGGCCCCCACCTCTCGGCCAGCCTGACGTGGGCCTGGGGGGCACTGGAGGCACTGGGGGGGTCCCAGTTTCACAGGGTATTTTTTGGGGGTTCAGGGTGTTCCCGTGGGGGTTTTTGGGGCCCAGGGGGTATTTTTGGGGTGTTTTTGGGGCCCCCACCTCTCGGCCAGCCTGACGTGGGCCTGGGGGGCACTGTAGGCACTGGCTGCCCTCGTTAACTCCTTGGTGATGACGAGCTGGGAGATGTCGATGCGGTTGCAGAGCAGGTCTGAGATCACCTCCTGGGCGTGGGCCACGGCCCCCTCGGGGTCCCTGGGGGGCACAGGGGGGGTTAGAGGGGCTTTGGGGGTCCTAAATCACCTCCTGGGCGTGGGCCACGGCCCCCTCGGGGTCCCTGGGGGGAAAAAAGGGGGTCAGAGGGTCCCTGGGGGTCCTAAATCACCTCCTGGGCGTGGGCCACGGCCCCCTCGGGGTCCCTGGGGGGAAAAAAGGGGGTTACAGGGGCTTTGGGGATCCTAAATCACCTCCTGGGCGTGGGCCACGGCCCCCTCGGGGTCCCTGGGGGGAAAAAGGGGGTCAGAGGGGCTTTGGGGATCCCTGGGGATCCCAAATCACCTCCTGGGTGTGGGCCACGGACCAGCTTGGGTTGGGGACCCCCCGTGTCCCCATTTCCCCTTCCATTTTCCCCATATTTCCCCCCATCCTGGGGGTCTCTCCCCCGTTTTTGGGGGTCCCACCTGTGCAGGAGGATCCTCCTGAGGCAGGCCGTGACCAGGTTGGGTTGGGGACCCCCCATTTTCCCTGTATTTCCCCCCATCCTGGGGGTCTCTCCCCCGTTTTTGGGGTCCCACCTGTGCAGGAGGATCCTCCTGAGGCAGGCCGTGACCAGGTTGGGTTGGGGACCCCCCCTGCCCCCCGTTTTTGGGGTCCCACCTGTGCAGGAGGATCCTCCTGAGGCAGGCCGTGACCAGGTTGGCAGCCAGGGGACAGTTGTCCCTCCTGACGGCCTCCAGCCCTTTGCAGTCGAGCTTTGGGGGGGCCCCCGAGCCCCCCGAGAAGCAGAGCCCGGCGTAGCGCTTCTTGCTGATCAGCAGGTACGGCCAGTACACCTGGGGGGAGACCCCCGGGTCAGGGGAGACCCCCGGGTCAGGGGAGAGACCCCCGGGTGAGGGGAGAGACCCCCGGGTGAGGGGAGACCACCCAAGGGTGAGGGGAGAGACCCCCGGGTCAGGGGAGAGACCCCTGGGTGAGGGGAGACCCCCGGGTCAGGGGAGACCACTGGGAGTGAGGGGAGACCACCCAAGGGTGAGGGGAGAGACCCCTGGGATGGGGGAGACCCCTGGGAGTGAGGGGAGACCACCCAAGGGTGAGGGGAGAGACCCCTGGGAGTAAGGGGAGACCCCCGGGTGAGGGGAGAGACCCCTGGGATGGGGGAGACCCCTGGGAGTGAGGGGAGACCCCCAGGGTGAGGGGAGAGACCCCCGGGGTCAGGGGAGACCTCCAGGAGTGAGGGGAGACCACCCCAGGAAGGAGGGACACACCTTGGCAGGGGGGGCACAGGTGAGGAGAAATCCCTGGGGAGGGGGGACAGGTGAGGGGAGACCCCCCTTGGGGTGAGGGGAGACCACCCTGGGATGGGGGGCAGGGGAGGGGAGACCCCCCCTGAGGGTGAGGGGAGACCACCCTGGGGTGGGGGGCAGGGGAGGGGAGACCCTCGGAATGGGGGACAGGTGAGGAGACCCCCCCCGGGATGAGTGGAGACCCCCCCTTGGGGTGAGGGGAGACCACCCTGGGGTGGGGGGAGACCCACCTTGGGGGGGACAGGTGAGGGCCCCTCCCCCTTGGGGTGAAGGGAGACCCCCCCCTTGGGGTGGGGGACACACACACCCCTGGGATTTGGGGACCCCCCCCAGGGAACTCCCCTCTCTTGGGGACCCCCAGGGACCCCTTTGGGGACACTGGGACCCCCCTTAGGGACACGGAAACGCCCTGGGGGGGCTCAGGACCCTCCCCCAGGATTTGGGGACCCCCCCCCCGTATTTTGGGGTCGGCACCTTCTCGAACTCGAGCCGGATGGGGGGGGGGAAGTGCCCCGACACCCACGAGGCCACTTCGCGCCCCAACTCCACGGCCTCGGCCACCGACGGGACCCCCAGGCGGCACATCACCGAGTCCGTGTCCCCATAGACCACCTGCACCCCAAAATCGGCATCAGGGACCCCAAAATCACCATCAGGGACCCCAAAAACCCCCCAAAACCCCCCCTGAGACCCCCCGAGCACCGACGGGACCCCCAGGCGGCACATCACCGAGTCCGTGTCCCCATAGACCACCTGCACCCCAAAACTGGTGTGAGGGACCCCAAAAACCCCCCAAAACCCCCCCTGAAACCCCCCGAGCACCGACGGGACCCCCAGTGTCACATCACCGAGTCCGTGTCCCCATAGACCACCTGCACCCCAAAATCGGCATCAGGGACCCCAAAAACACCATCAGAGACCCCAAAAACACCATCAGGGACCCCCAAACTCCCCTCGGGATCCCCCCAACATCCCCCAAAACCCCCTAAACACCCCCAGGACCCCCCAGGACCCCCAGTGTCACATCACCGAGTCCATGTCCCCAAACCCCCCCTGGGACCCCAAACCCCCCCTCAGGGACCCCAAACCCCCCCTCAGGGACCCCACCCCCCCCTCAGGGACCCCAAACCCCCCCTGGGACCCCAAATCCCCCCTCAGGGACCCCAAACCCCCCCTGGGACCCCAAACCCCCCCTCAGGGACCCCAAATCCCCCCTCAGGGACCCCAAACCCCCCCGTGCCCCCTCACCTTGACCTGGTGCCCCCCCTGCCCCCCGTATTTCTCCTCCACGAGCTGCTTCGTCCTCTCGATCATCTGCCGCCCGAACCCCGTCACGCTCTGCGGGCACAGGGGGGGCACGGGGGGGCACAGGTGGGGCAGGGTGTGTCACAGGTGTGCCCCAGGTGTGTCAGGGTGTGTCCCAGGTGTGCCCAGGTGTGTCACAGGTGTGCTCAGGTGTGTCCAAATGTGCCCCAGGTGTGTCCAGGTACGTCCCAGGTGTGTCTTGGAGGTGTCCCAGGTATGGCAGGTGTGTCCCAGGTGTGCCCAGGTGTGTTCAGGTATGTCCCAGGTGTGCCCAGGTGTGCCCAAGTGTGTCAGGGTGTGTCCCAGGTGTGCCCCTCACCTGGGATATCTCGAGGCAGGGCAGCCTGCCCGCCTGTGCCCCGGTGAAGCTGTGGGGTGGGTGTGTCAGGGTGTGTCAGGGTGTGTCCCAGGTGTGTCAGGGTGTGTCCCAGGTGTGTCAGGGTGTGTCAGGGTGTGTCCCAGGTGTGCCCAGGTGCCCCAGGTGTGCCCCTCACCTGGGATATCTCGAGGCAGGGCAGCCTGCCCGCCTGTGCCCCGGTGAAGCTGTGGGGTGGGTGTGTCAGGGTGTGTCCCAGGTGTGTCCCAGGTGTGCCCAGGTGTGTCCCAGGTGTGCCCAGGTGCCCCCCTCACCTGGGATATCTCGAGGCAGGGCAGCCTGCCCGCCTGTGCCCCGGTGAAGCTGTGGGGTGGGTGTGTCAGGGTGTGTCCCAGGTGTGTCAGGGTGTGTCCCAGGTGTGCCCAGGTGCCCCAGGTGTGCCCCTCACCTGGGATATCTCGAGGCAGGGCAGCCTGCCCGCCTGTGCCCCGGTGAAGCCGTACACGGAGTTGGCGCTGACCTTCAGTGCCAGCTGCCGCCCGTCCAGCACCTGCCGCCGCGCTGGGTCCTGCTCCTGGGCCAGGGCTGCCTTCACCCTGCGGGACCCAGACACACACCTGAGCTCACCTGAGCTCACCTGAGCCACACCTGTACCTCACCTGAGCTCACCTGTACCTCACCTGTACCTCACCTGAGCCACACCTGAGCTCACCTGAGCCCCAAACCCATCCCTGCTCCTGGGCCAGGGCTGCCTTCACCCTGCGGGACCCAGACACACACCTGAGCTCACCTGAGCTCACCTGAGCCACACCTGAGCTCACCTGTACCTCACCTGAGCTCACCTGAGCCTCACCTGAGCCCCAAACCCATCCCTGCTCCTGGGCCAGGGCTGCCTTCACCCTGCGGGACCCAGACACACACCTGAGCTCACCTGAGCTCACCTGTACCTCACCTGTACCTCACCTGAGCCCCAAACCCATCCCTGCTCCTGGGCCAGGGCTGCCTTCACCCTGCGGGACCCAGACACACACCTGAGCTCACCTGAGCTCACCTGAGCCACACCTGAGCTCACCTGTACCTCACCTGAGCTCACCTGTACCTCACCTGAGCCCCAAACCCATCCCTCCTCCTGGGCCAGGGCTGCCTTCACCCTGCGGGACCCAAATGCACACCTGAGCTCACCTGAGCCACACCTGAGCCTCA